ATACCCTATTTTATAAAATTCAAACAGTAATTCAGCAAAAAGAGCACATTAATCCATACTCAGACTTAGTGAATGAATTTGAACCTAAAAATTTTACATAGCAACATACAGTATGCCAAAGTCCACTTATAAAAATTTCAGCCTTAAATGATAACTGCTCCTATTTTTAAAAATTCAAACAAGAAACAGCAGTTTATTGAATTTAAATCCAAACTGAAACCAAACGGACTCTAAAAATTTTCATATTTTACAGACATGATGAAACACTTAAAATATGACTCCCAGTAAAATTTCAGAATTTTCCATGCAGTAACCGATTTTTAAAAATTAAAACATCCTTTCTGCAGAATCAATAAATAAAATATTACCCATATCAAATCAACTCCAAAAATTCTGAAAATTTAACACAACACATATAAGTCACAGAGGCATGACATATTCGAAGTCCAGCTCATTTCAGTCAAATATGAATTTATTATGCATTTAACAATTTTCTGGATAGAAAACAATTTAACTATTAAAAATAGCTACAGGTCTCCAAAAATTATGAAAATTTTACACAAGGCAGGAAACGAACATATAACACATCTCACAAAATTTCACGTCGTTTCGAGCAGCGAGCTATTTTTAAAAATTCGAACATCAAAACAGCGACAATAAGGCTCGACAACTCGAAAATTAAATCACAACACACAAATTATCGTCCGAGGCCTTTTCATAAGACCAAGGGCTCGACATTGTTCCATTATCCACGGACCCACACGACTTTCGAGGTCTCGTTCAATTTTCGAGAAAATCGAAGAGATCCGAACACATACGATAACACATAAAATCATACTTCTCACGTAAAATCATAACGAACACATTAACGTATAATATTTATGTCACGCAAATCATACATATTCATAAATGACATAATCGATAAAAACGAGACGGGATCGAGCCTTGTACCGTTCTCGGGAATCAAACGAAAAACGGACGAACACGAACGGGGCTCGACGGATTCTCGCGTCTCGCCGGAAAGAGAAGGGCCGTCGCACGGGAGGAGAAGGAGCTGCTGCTGGTTCGCGGGTTCGCCGGAAACGGAACGGAGGGTCGCCGGTTGCTGCTCGAAGAGATGCCGAGCTCGCCGGAAAAATCACGGGGCTTCACGGCGCGGCAAAGAAGGGTCTGCAACTCGCCGGAAAGAGCTCCAAGGTCGCCGGACTTGCTGCAAGGGGTCGTCGGCGGTCGTGGCTGCTCACAGTACCGAACTCGCCGGAAGTTGCAGGTCGCCGGAATTGGGGCGGCAGCGGCGGCGCGAGGGTCACCGGAGATGAGGGCGAGCGATGATGATGATGACGAAGGTGATGATGGAAAGGAGATGATCGATGATGGAGATGGAGGATGATGATGTCGCACGATGCTGGTGAAAGAGAAGAAGGTCGATGACGAGGGAGATGATGACGAAGACGGTCGAACGAAAGAGAATCGGAAGAAACAGAAAATCTCAAAAGGCTGCGGGATTGGCCAAAAGATCGATACTCATATATATATATATATATATATACACACATATGTATATTAGGTTTGGGAAAAGAACAAAATTTCTTGTTGTCCAAGACATAAAATCACGTTCAAAATAAAGGGAAAGGAAAATCTGTCGGGCCGGGCCCGAGAAAATTTGGGCCAATAGGATTTTTGGGCCGTTTGGGTCAACAAGACAGCTCACGGGCTCAAATGAAATTCAAACAGATATATTCGGGCCCAATTCGATTACAACAATAATTATCGGGCTCGATTTCGAAAGCAAACGCGCGATAAAAATAAACCGAAAAATAAACCTATATATATTTTTCATATTATCACATACACATTTATTCATATTAATAATTAAATAAAACACAAAATCAATTTAAACAATTTGACAAGTCACAATTAGCATTTAATCACATTAGACAAATAAATAATTATATTTGCATTCAATAAAATAAAATATAAATATTACTACCAATTAATAATAAAAATAAATCCCAAATAATCCACAAATAAACGGGGCATTACAGTAGGATATATTTAATGATTTTGGCGGGAAAAGGTTTCTAAATTTGTAAAAAGGTTATTCTTTTTATATAATGATAGATTGGTATATATATTGAATCATGGGTTATTGTTATTTCTTCCTTTCTAATGTTATATTGGTAATAATTTTGTTTCCATCTTTATGATGATTACTACATATAATAGTTATTGGATATTTATTTATCAATTCGTGGGGATGTGTTTATGTTACCTGTGGGAGAGTATAACTAACTATTCTCACTATTCACCTGAAGGTAATCTGTGCATGAATCTGAATAGGCTAAGAAGGATGAGTGCTCAACTTTTTAAGAAACTTCTATGAAATTCTTAACCATTATCTCTCTCTCTCAGATAGTTAATCATTGATTTAGAAAAGATCCATGTTATATAGTTGATACTTTCCCAGGTTTAAATAGTTATATAATTGTAACGGTGATTGTATGATAAAGTTAGACTTGGCTAGCAAATAACTTTTGAAATGAGCAGCGTTGTCTTTTCTTAGTGATGGATTTGGTTTCCGGGTGAACCTTGTTAGACATGTTGTTTTCTCTATTAGTGTGGATTCTTGTTTTCGAGACTGCCTAAAGGAAGTTCAAGAGGATAAATCAATAAGTTCTATCAACATGATAAAATTTGGGCGTAAAAGCTATAAAAAAATTTGCTCTTATTTTTGGACTTTGCTTGGTTTCGGTGAGATATCATTTTGGTAAATGAGATCTCTTAGAAATAGGAGATTACTGAAGAGCAGGTGATATGATAAGTTGTTTAGAATGCTTGAAATTCATGAAAATAGCGTAAATATCTGCTTTTTTTGTAGGCAAAAGGATATTATTTTTACCCAAACGTTTGTTTTTGGATTCAAAATTAAAGAGAGGATGCTATGTAAAAGCAACAGGACCACTACTGGAATGTGGTAAGTCATTTGTTTTCTTCACGTGGGTAATCAAAGTTGTATACTATATTTGATTTTCCTCTATGATAATGTCTTTTTAGTATCTCATGAATTTTGAGATTATGTAGATCAATGAAAATCATATATATTTACTTGGGTTTGACTTAGCATCTGTGGAAAAATAAACTCCACCACCAACCAATAATGTGCACTACCACTACCCAATATATTGTTATTATTATTGTTATCATCATTTGGATTTCTTTGAGTTGGGTCTGCAAGCATATTCTCTTCCTTGCATTTGTTTCGAAAATATACGCACTTCCTACTGGTGAGGCCACAAATCTAAATCTATAATGCATTTCTTTGATATTCTTTTTTTTTTTTTTTTTTTTTTNTTCTGTTCTTCCCCTAAATTTTTTTGTTGATTCATTAAAATCGATTCTTCATAAAGAAACGTCTCAAAATTTCCGTTCTTTTATTCTTCTTAATCTTGTGGCACCGATCTTAGGTTGCTTTCAATATTCCGTCACATTTCATTAATTTTTTTTTTTTTGACATTTGTATTTGCATGGCGCCACTGCACATTGGGTTGGCCGATGCTTTAATCTGTTCCAATGCATGTCTTCACGAGTTTGTGAGATTTCTCTATCCTTTTATTTAAATTTATTTCAGATTATTTAACATTTTTATGGTTGGCCTTTCATTTTTGGGGTTATATTTTCCCGTCAGTATCTGTTATATTTTTTTCCCTTCTTGGAAATTAAGGACATTAAGTCGGTCGACCTTCTGCTGGATACAAACAGTCAGGCAGATGCATACCGAATAAGGTGGATGGGAGCCAGTGGGCGAGCCTACTCGAGCAGCTCCAGCACTGGAGGTTCAAAAGGTGAACAACACAGGTGTTAAAGAAAAAATTTTCTATTTAAAGTTATTGCATTTGGACATGGGATTACTTTTGCAGTGTTTAATAAAATGTTGTATGCTTCGATTGACGACAACCATTTTTGACTGTGGAGACACCGGATTACATTGCTCCGGTGGTCGCAGGAAAAAGTTCGGATTTTGTAAAGGTTTTGGATCATACTATCTTAATCAATAGATTTTTTTTTTTTTTCTAACTATTGTTAATTTCAGGTCAAAGTCTTCTTGCCTTGGTATTTATTTGCCTGTGGACTTAGGGTTTCATTGCCTTTTGATTTCTTTTTCCGTCTCTATTTTATTCATTTGGGTTGAATAATGGGCTCGGTTGAATAAGACATTTGAAGAAAATTGCGGTAAAACAAATTAGCTTTTGTGCTTCTTAAACTTACAACTTTTGAATAGCTCTGACGACCATACATTGACACTTAGACCTTTTACATTTTGTTAGTTTAAAACCAAAAAATTTTAAACATCTACCCTCACATAACATAGATGTTTAGAAATTATGTGGGAACTGTATTATCTATAGAGTGTTTGGTAGCACTTTTTATATATTGTAGTTGGTAATGGTTGTTTGAACATGTTTTGACATACTTTGGTCTGAATCCAAACAACAAAAATATTGTGAATGTATAATGTATTTTCATAAGCAATCTATTTTACCAAAATGTATTATACTCATACTCATAATAATAATACGTTAGAGGCGAGCAACTAAATTGGGCCGGCCGTGCTGTGCACGGCGAGAGCATCCTAGTTACTAAAAGTAGTAAAAGTATTACTATCTTTCCTTACATACTTATGATTATAAATAAAATTAACAGTTGCCTAATAATAATTTTCCTAATTCTAAGGATCTTTTCCTTTCGAATTTTGGTTTTTATTTTTGATTTTGTTGTGTGGCGGCCGGCAGGAGTATTGAGCCTTGAGGCCCAAGCAATCGGCCCATAAATCAAATAAAACCCAAACCAAAGTCAACTTCTATTTTTTTTTTAATTATTTGTTTTTATTTTTATTTTTCCCTACGCATGAAAAGGCCAACCCTTGATCTTTCCATTAAATTTCCTTGACATGAATGTGTCGTTTCATGCTTGGTCTCCAATTAACTTCTACAATTTTGGTTATTTTATTTTGTGTCAACTCCCAAAAACTCAAAATCCTTTTCCTATTTTAAGTCGTCCATTCTTATATTATTATTATTATCACGTCTCAAAACACTACATTCTCATATATCCCTCATGGAATTAGACAAAGACCAGATGTTGCTTCCATGCCAAGACCTTGTCATAGTAGAACAAGGTAACTCAAAAGAAGAGAACTCAAAACGGGTCAAATCGATAACCGGGTACACATTTCGCGACCCGATTCTCCTCCAACAAGCCTTCACTCACCACTCGTACGAAGATGGGTCGTGCGCCTCTTTGGAACGGCTCGCGTACGTGGGGGACTCGGTTTTGAACTTGTTGATTGCTAAGGAGCAATACTCGTTGTATCCGGATTTGGATCCGGGTCGACTCACCCGCCTTCGAGCTGTGAACGTGGACACTGAGAAGCTCGCGCGCGTGGCCTTGAAACACGACCTCCACAAGTTGTTATGCCATAATAAGATCTTGCTTTCCGTACAAGTAATTGCGCTCTCAGTCGTAATCTATTTAAGTTACTATTCGTTAGCTTTTTCGGAGTATTTGACCCAATTGGGCTCTGTTTACACCAAATTTTGAGCCGTCAGATTACATGCACACAAATAGGATAAAATTAATTAGCCTAATTAATAACATTAATACTTATGTTTGTTCACTAGAAACACAAGTATTCATTGAATTGTGTTGGCATTAATAAACCTAATATTGATTGTTTCAATTTTGTTTTTGATCAAACTAACTTATTAGTAAAATTTATTTGATATAATTCATAACAATTTAAAGATTTTCCTGGCTTTTTAATGTTCACCAAATCATAAGTGGAAGGGGGATACACAACAGAAAAGTGAAAGGAAATAGTTCATTTTATAGAATTTGTAAGTGTGACTTCATGTTTCTATCTAAGTTAACTTGAATTGAATTTATGTACTCATATTTGTGATTTTTCAGATCAAGGAATTTACAAATGCAATAGTGGAATATCCCTTGCACTCGTCAGGACTAATTGACGCGCCAAAGGTGCTTGCAGATATTGTTGAGTCCTTGATTGGAGCCATATTCATAGACTCCAACTCCTCTCTAGACACAACATGGAAGGTATTTATGTGTATATAAAAAAGAAGTGCAATTAATAAATTTTAACAAATTTCACAAATTGATATGTGAGGTTGTCTAATTGTTAGTTAGGTCTACCTGTCATACTATTTAACAAAAATATATTTATGTTGTTTTTCAGAGTAACGTCTTATTTCACGGTAGGTCTTTTGTTAATTAGGCCAGCCTAATCATTAGTTCGACATACTTTTATCGCAGATATATACTTTCAATAAAAATACCATACTTTAAAAACAATATAAGTAGAAGTATGACAATAGCATAAGTACGCATTTTTTGTTCACATATTATATTAAGACAGCCATACTACTTTTCAGTATATTTGGTACTTTTAAACAGAAATATCATACTTTTTGACCCGCCTAATGATTAAGTCGTCTGTCGTCTCAT